ACAAAAGAAAAAAAATAAATACCAGAAGTCGCAATTACTCAGTCACTATATACATATTTATTTTCCACCACTTTATAATAAAGAAAATAAAAGAGAGAAAACACACATCTCACAAAATCTCATCATATTATAGAATTCCACAGGATCTTCTTTTTTTGTAACGCGTCATAAGGGAGCCCCTCTGGTGATTTAAAAATGTCAAATATGTCACTAACTATTTGATGATTTGTGAAAAAAAGTATAAATGTGTTGTTGTGTGTGTGTGTGTGTGTGTGTGTGTGTGTGTGTGTGTGTGTGTGTGTGTGTGTGTGTGTGTGTGTTCATGCGTCGTGCCACTGCCGGAAGCAGATATGCAGGGGGAATTGCAAGTGTATGGAGGCCGGTTCTCCGTAAGTCGCGTGCGGTTTCGCTTTCGTGCTGTTTGTGTGCTTGGGTGTGTGTTTGCGATGCTTGCGATGGTCGCATGTCTCCACTTTCTCTTGACGCTGTTCGTGTCCCGCGTGCATCATCACCGCAGGGCTGGCAGCAGCGGGTCTGTTGGATCGATGACCAGACGCTTGTATGCGCCCCATCAGCAAACGTGTGTTCGTTTGTGTGTGCGCGTTCGTGTGTGTGTGTGTGTGTGTGTGTGTGTGTGTGTGTGTGTGTGTGTGTGTGTGTGTGTGTGTGTGTGTGTGTGTGTGTGTGTGCGATTGTGTGTGTGTGTATGTGTGTGCATCTCGTGTGTCTTGTGCAGGCGTCTCTGTGTTGCCACGTTCTTTTTCAGTTGCGCTCACACTCACACACACATGCTCACACATACACACATACTGGCACACACACACACACCTCTGATGCACTCGTATGCCCATCATCCGCCCTTTGCTGCAGGCAAAGCCCACGTTGAAGATGGACTTACAAGGCGCACAAATTGTGGAGGCCAGCAACCGCAACCTCTCCAACGCATTTGAGGTGAGTCAGTGGTGGTGGAGGGCAGAGAAGGATAGTGTTCGCACTTGTGGAAACCGCGCACAGCATGATGCGTGTGCATGTGATTCGAAGCTGGTGGCTGGCGTGGCACCTCGTACAAGCTGACCACAGCCTGCAACCACGGAGGCATGCATAGCACACCCACACACCCACACTCACTTGCCCAACGCAATTCTCCCCCCCCCCCCCCCCACACACACACACGTTCCCACGTGCCACTGCAGATCACGACCAAAGGGAAGACGCTGTCTGTGCAGGCTCCATCGCGAACAGACCTGGACAAGTGGTACGATGCCATCCGCAAGGCCGCCAAGTCATGTATCGACTGCACCCATCACCGCTGGTGAGTGGTTGTGTGTGTGTGTATGTGTGTGTATGTATGTGTGCGTGATTGTATGCGTGCGTGATTGTATGTGTGCGTGTATGTTGGGGGTGCTTTTTGCCTCTGTGGTTTTGTGTCTGTGCCTGTGCCAGCTTCGTTTGTTGTGTGCTTCGTTCATGACGTGCGCCCACGTGTCGCTGCTCAACCAACAACCAACAACCAACAACAAACAACAACAACAACCAACAACCAACAACAACTTAAACAACAACTTAAACAACAACAACAAACGACAAACAACAAACAACAAACAACAAACAACAAACAACACCAATCACGTGTATTTGCTGCAACACATCAGGTACTGTCGCCCCAGCAAGCGCACCCACCTGTGTGGCGCGTGCCAGCGCAACTGTGGCGGTATTGGCCAGAAACCGCTCGTCTGCGAAGGTATTGTTTGCTACTCGTTTGTGCTTGTGTGGATTCTTTGGTTCATTTCTTGTGGTTTGTTTGACTGTTTGTTTGTACATCTGTGTGCATGCTTGTGTTTCTGGCCACGCAAGTGCTGTTTGCATGTGTTCGCATGTCACACTGCGCAGCCATCCGCTCGTTTGACCGGATTGCTCCTCTTCACCTTTCATACGCGTGCACTGCCCTTCACTTTGCGTCATCTATGTCCCCCCCCCGGGCTTTCTCCTCACCTTGCCTCCACCTCCGCTTGTTCAGCGTGCCGGCTGTGGGTGCACAAGGGCTGCATACACGATGTGCAGCAGCCCTGCAAGTGGACCATCTACGAGAGCATCCCAGAGGAGTTTCGCTTCGAGGTAAGACCCGGTGTGGTACGGAATGTGTGCGTATGTGTATGAATGTTTGCGTTCATGTCTGTGTTCGTTGACGTTTACGTGTACGGTCACGTGTGCGTTTACGTTTACGTGTATGTGTACGTTTACGTGTACGGTTACGTGTCTGTATGCATTTTTCCCCGATTTGTACGGACGCGTCTCCGTTCATGCAATGATGCAAAAAGATGTGTGCCACCCTTTCGTCTCATCGTCACCCCCTTACTCCCTCGCATTGTCACGCACCCCCCCCCCTTCTTCCCGCCGCAACTCGCCACCAGAGCGACATCTGCCACCAGTGGACCGCTCGCCCCACCACGCGCGCATGTGACGTGTGCACAAAGGCCATTGACGGGCCGGCGCAGTTCTGCCTCTGGTGCAAGCAGACGGTGCACGGCGTCTGCCGCATGGCCCTCCCGCGCACGTGCAACCTCGGCAAGCACTCCCTCTCCATCATCCGGGTGTGTGTGTGTGTGTGTGTGTGTGTGTGTGTGTGTGTGTGTGTGTGTGTGTGTGTGTGTGTGTGTGTGTGTGTGTGTGAAAACGTGAGCCTGCACCACGTTGCATATGTAGCTCTTCTTGTGATCGCCTCATTACTCCAACGTCAACCAATTGCCGCTCCCATCGACCTCGTCATCCTCGTCATCACCGCCATCATCATCCTCCTCATCACCGCCATCATCATCATCTTGCGCGACCTGCACCCCCACTACAGCCGTGCGACATCTCCCGCAGCGTGACGCGCATCGCAGAGGTGTCCCCGCTCGGGCAGTACGTGGTGAGTCAAACAACGTCCACGATCGTGATGGTGCTGGTGGTTGAATGGACGGCGTGAGCAACGTGATTGACGACCAACGTCTTTCGAAAACACCAGCTCACAAATACACACGCACACATACACTCACACACACTCACAAATACACACACACGCACACACACGCACAACAGGTATCGCCCCCACGGAGCGCCAACCCGCTGATTGTGTTTGTGAACACGAAGAGCGGGAGCAACGACGGCGTGAGCATCCTGCGCATGATGCGCTTCTTCCTCAACCCGGCGCAGGTGTTTGACCTCAGCCACGGCGGGCCCGCCGCAGGGTACGTCCTGCTGCGATTGCAGCGTCGTGGTGGTGGTGGTGGTGGAACGAGGGTGAAGGGAAGGTGTGCGCTTATGCTCACGTTTGCGCACGTGCCCCGACTCACCATCAACCAACAAACCAACCATCCACCCACAACCACCCACCTTCAGGCTGCGCATGCTGCAGGACCGCCCGTCATTCCGGGCACTCGGCTGCGGCGGCGACGGAACAATCGGATGGATCCTCCATGAGGCTGACAAGGTGCCACGCACAGTGTGTGTGTGTGTGTGTGTGTGTGTGTGTGTGTGTGTGTGTGTGTGTGTGTGTGTGTGTGTGTGTGTGTGTGTGTGCCTCGTGTCGCATTCTCCCAATTGATCTCCAATGGCATTGAGTGACGAATTCATGTCCTGTTTTCTCACGCATATCCTCCTCCCCCTCCCACCTACTACTTCCTTCGTGGCTACTTACTAACCCGCACACACAC